AAAACACTATACATTACATGTAGGATTGCCAGGATCCCGGCTTTTACGAAGGAAAATACAGTGAAAAATTTTTTTTTTACAAGTTTGTGCTACTCCGTAAAGGCACTATGTTTGGCAACCCCAATATTTAAAAAAGCGCTGCGTCAAGGCTAGAGGCGTGCGCTTTATTAAACCTTGACTATATTCATTGGTTAAAAAAACCTTGAAATAAGCGCACACCACACCACCTTGAGGCGCTTTTTTAAACTTTGAGCAACCCTAATTATTTGGAAAGATTTTGAATATTTAAGTATTTTAAAATATAAATTTTAAAATACTTAAAAACATTTTTTTAACTTTTTTACATAGGTGTTCGTATTATTGTTCATCATATTTTATATTAAAATTTTTATCATTAGATAAATTTTAAAGTTAAAAAACTTATTTAAATCGATAGCTTTTAAATGAAAGTTAAATGAAAGCTTTCGAAATCTTAATAACTTTTAGTTGAAAAATTGGGTTGGCTCGTCGATTTCCGTCAAGTATAATGTTTGTTAAAATAACTTTTGTTGCAATATGCTACTTTAATTGAAATAAGTAACTAAGGCATTTAAGAGGCAGAGCGAAATTCTTTCACCGCATGAAGGCAGCAACTAAATTTAATCGGCATCTTTAAATATCTAGTAAGTTAGGTATTCAAATAAAAAAATGTATTTAAATACAAAAACTAATATATATTTTTTTTTAATTTACTAATTTACATTAAATGCGGTAGTGGTGTAGTGGTAGAGCGCTCGCTTCATAAACGAGTGGTTCCGAGTTCGATCCCCACCACGTCCCTGGTAGTACCGCGCTCAACTCGTTTCTCCGCGCAGCGGCCTTGTTTGTCAAGGTTCGTGTTTCAGAGTTATAGAGTTGAGAGAGGGTTATAGCCACAAATAAGTAGCCTCCTCGTCTTTAGTGGCCTTCTCGGCCTTGAGGAGGTGAATTAAAATAAAAAAAAATAAAAAATATCTATATAAATTTTGTCGGCCCTAATATTAATAAATCTTTTATAATGTTGTCGGCCCTGGTATTAATAAATCTTTTATAATAAAAACGTCATAAGGGGCTGTCCATTAATTACGCCAACAAATTTTTGAAACATATCTAGACTACTAATACTTTATTAAACATATCTAGACTACTAATAATTTATTAAACATATCTAGACTACTAATAATTTATTAAACATATCTAGACTACTAAAAATTTATTAAACATATCTAGAGACTATCTAGAGAATAATGAACTTGAGAATAAAAATTAGAGAATAATTGACGTCATAAAAATTAAAAAAAAAAAAAAATTTAACTTTTGAATGAATGATCTTATTAAATGTTAATGACGCTTCTTAATGACGACACTTTTGTACACTTTTAAAAAAATTGATCGACATAATTAGTTTCCTCGTCGCGCATACTAATTGCGTTTTTTACTTGTCTAGTGCGACACTAAATATAAGACTGATTTAATTTTTTTTTTTTTTACTATGATTTTATTAATCTTTGGGAATTTTAAAACCAGTTGGGAATACCGCGTTATACGCGATGCCATCAGGCTGGCTAACACCCTGCTTTAAGTTTTAAAAAAGTAAACAAAACTAACTGCACTATCGAATATGAAGAAACAACTCGGTTAATTAACAATTTTTTAATTTTTTTGAGCTTATTAAATAAGCTTTAAAATTTTAAGAATTTTTTTTTTTTTTTTCCATAATTTTGAAATAATTTTATTTAAACATCATTCAAATATATAAATTAAAATGTCTATTAAATTAAGGACATGCTTACTGTTAACAGTTTATTGAACATTTTTTTAAAGTTCCATATGTATTAGCTTTGTTTATTGCTTAGCTTGCCCCACACACTGCTTAACTTACCCCACTGGTGCAAGTTGAGCTGCTTGGTAAATTTTAGTGAAAAAGATTTTCTTTTGTAATCAGATTTTCAGGTTTAGTGTTTTTCACATAGTAATCTGATGTGTTTTTTTTTTTCACATAGTAAAAAATTTATTTAAATCTGATGTGTTTTTTTTTTCACATAGTAAAAAAATGATGTAAATCTGATGCACTGTTCAGAAAATTTGTTAAGTTTGGTAAAAACTGTGTAACTTGCAATCCCCTACCCTAAAAACTGAAGATATTTTAGGCTTATCTTTTACCTAATCAGAATATTTCAAATAGTTATCATTAAAAATATTCCGGTTAATTAAGTTAATCAGAATATTTTAAATGATTAAAACCTGCATAAACAACTCCAATTAAATATTAAATTTATTGAATATGAGTATTTAAATTCAATTTGCAAAAAAATTAAAAAAAAATTTTTTAATATTGATAATAGTTAAAATATTCAATGTTATTTTTTTATTTTATTTAAAAATATTTGTTTCAAATATTTTATTATATGGGCCCGGATATCTTTTTATGCAGGTAATTCTTAGCAGAAGTTGTTTGAGGGTCTTGTATGGGATTCGTAATGGTTATTTACTGGAATGTCCTTATGGGTTTCAGATATTTTCTGTTTTGTTTGTCCTTGTAGTTCTAATATGGGAGTTATTTAACTTTCTTGTTTTTAACTTCTGTTTCTAAGTTTTTAACTTCTATTTCTCAAATGGGTACTAAGGGATTGTCTATAAAGTTTATATACTTATTTGCATATGTTTATTTATATACAACTCTTGGAATTTAAAAAAAATAAAGTCGGCAATAAATTGCCAACCTCAAACTGTTAGAGGTCGGCATTAGCTTAGCAAAAAAAAAAATTGGCACAAAGAGGATAGCATAAAACAGAAACAAGGTCGGCAATTTTTTGCCGACTCAAACTCTTCTAGGTTCGCATTTCGGAATACTGACTCTAATTCCAAGGGTTGTATATATTATTTCTAGATATATACTTTTTCTCAACGAATCTTTAAGATTTGTTAAGTTAGAAATAGTTGTTTTATAAGATTCATAAACTATTTTTAATTTAAAAAAACTTTCTTTAATTATACATTATACGTATTTTGTACCAAAATTAACTAATCTAATTTTATGTTAATAAAACTTTTACTTCACAGATTATAAATATTTATTGCTAAGTGAAGTTTTATTATATATATGTATATATATATATATATATATATATATATATATATATATATATATATATATATATATATATATATATATATATATATTTAATAAATGATTTTAACATTACGATAACAAACTTGGTTTTGTTATAAGCATACCAATTCCCATTAAATTCCCATTAAATGTCTGATTGATATATAATAAAAACCAGCTGGAGCAATTAGTTTTTTATCTCCTAACTGGGATAATTATTTATCAGACACTATTGCTATTATTAATTTACTATTCATTACACAGAGGTAATGTATAGTAAATTAATAATAGCAATTACTTACTTCACTATTGCTATTATTAATTTACTATTCATTACACAGAGGTCCCAATATTAAAGGTGCTATTGGAGCAACATTAAAAATCAAAGCTTTTACAAAAGACTATAATTATCTGGAAGCAAAATCTAGACAGTTTTATAATGTTTGTATACATAATGTTTGTGAAAAGAGGAATTTGATGTATAAAATGTTTCCTGTTAATTATATAACTGCAAGAATTACTCAATTAATTAGATAATGATAGCATAATAAATATGAACCATGATTTATGGTTCGTTCATATTTAACATGAGATACCATGTTGAGTATGAATGCCATCATTTTAATACAAGTGTAGTTGATTAATGTAAATGTATATAATCAGAGTGGCCAGAAAATGTTCATGTTTATTTTCCATCACTTTTCTCTTACTCATAAAGTTTCACTGACTTTCTGAGTCAACAAAGTTTTTGAGAGTACATTTTATGCATCAATGAGAGCACTTTTGAAGCAAGTTTATAAAAATATAAACTTGCTTCAAAAGTGCTCTCATTGACTTTTAAATAATGTTATTATAAGACTTTGAAAATACATTTTTTGCGATCTTATTTTGATTATCAATTCAAATAATAACTTTGAGTTTGCAACTAAATCAATCAAAATTCTCTGAGTTTTGCATAATTTATTTAGTTTCCAGACGTTAGTAGGATGTCCACGTGGCTGGCCAACCTGATTATTTTATAAATAATAAAAGTAAATTTATTGAGAAGTATTGTATTATTATTTGCAGTTTAAAAATCAAAATACATTTTAAATAAGGGTATTAGTTTAAATTTGTCTATTTTCTGGTTTAAAAATCTTTTCGTAAGCATTTAGTACTTTTTGTACTAAACTCATTTTGTTCCAACTCAAGTGTAAAGTTTTAAAAATTGTATTTTTTATTACAAATTATTAATTACAAATTAATTACAATTTAATACAAATTGTTATTTACAAATTAAAATTTTTTATAATACTATAATTTTTTCAAAACTAGGTCTTTGGCATTTGCTGTTAATTTTCCTAACATTTTCTGTTGGTTTGTCACTACTTCTTATTACGTTTGTCGATATTAGATGTCTTTAACCTCTGCAACTCGGATGCTAAATTATTACTATTTCAAAGTTTATTACTACTTAAAAATATTCAATTAATCTTTTTCAATTTAATAAATAACAACAACAAAAATTCTTATAATCTTTTTCAATTCATATTGCTTTTAAAGATCTTTTTGAATTTAATGAACTTCAAAAGGTCTTTAAAAAAAAGAATTTTTGTTGTTGTTAATTATTAAATTTTAAAAGATCTTTAAATACAATATAAATTGAAAAAGGTTATAAGAATTTTTGTTGTTGTTATTTTACATGATTAATCTGATTAAGCACAGAAGAACATTTTGTTGTATAAAAAGTTTTATGCGAAATATAATTTTTTTTTAGGTATTCCTGTATACTTTTTATAAAATTTTGTTTAAGATGTACAGGTATATACAGATATACAGGTATATAGCTCGGTTTTAATTGATTTTCTTTATATTGTTAATTTTTTTTTAGGTATATTGCACATTTTGTTGTTCTTAAACCAACAACGAGGTTACTTGCTGAAATGTATTTTCAAAAAAATCCAACTAAAATTCTGGAACTTCGGCCTGACACCTTAGCACAAATATTAACCTACTCGAATGTTCAATTTGGTTCAAAAGTATTAGTTCTTGAAACCTGTCAAGGCTTGGTGGCAGGTTCCATTTTGGAGCGTCTTGGAAGCAAAGGTAGCATACTTCAAATATATCAAGGTTCGTTTCCTGTTCGTATTGTAATGGAGCAGTTCAACTACTCGGAGGTAGACACTGACAATGTTTTATGCAGTTATCCATTAGAAAAATTAGGTATCTTGCCTGATTTGCTAAAAAGTGGTAAATCAGATGAGGATTTAATAGAATTTATTTTGGGTAAACACAAAGACGAACAAGAGCATATTAAAAAAATAGAAATAAGTAAAAATTTAGTTGATTGCAACTTAGATACTGAAGAAATCCCACTCACCAAAATTGGTGAAAAAAGAAAATTTAAAAAGAATGAGAGTGAAGAAAGAAAAACAAATTTCACAAATATAGGTGGTGTTAGGTTTTTGTCACGAGAAAAACGTATTCAGGAAACTCTTACAGCTCTAAAACTACTTCGTAACAATGATTTCGAAAGTTTAATTTTGGTCTCTAAATATCATCCGAAGTTACCGTTACTAACATTACTTGATTATCTTCCTCCATCTTGTCCATTTGTTGTTTACTTTACACATCAGGAACCATTAATGGAGTGCTTTGTTAACTTAAAAGACAAGCAATGTGCTACGAACTTGGAGCTAACTGAGTCCTGGTTTCGCAACATTCAAGTGTTACCGAAACGCACTCATCCTGAAATTGTAATGAGTGGAACTGGGGGATATCTTTTACGAGGTATTAAAGTCGATCCTTCGTAAAATATTTTATAAAGCAACTTACTTAAAACAAGAAAATTTTGTATTTCTCATTTATTTACTTTTTATAGTTTACGCTGTTTAAACTACGTTAACTACCACTGAAATCTATTGCAATTTTATACTGCGCATTATAAAACTTTTTACTGCTATTAAACTTTATAGTGCGCGTAAGTTTTAACTGTAAAATAAATCAACTTTTAAATTCTAGTTCAAGATTTAAATGAATTTAAAATTTAAAATTCTTCACAAATTGACAACAAGTCATATAAATCTCATTAAAATATAAAATTTCTAATAAATATATTATTCGCATTTACACAAAGCATATTCTTTATTATAGACAATCTTGAAGCTTGTTTATCTTGTGCTGGTTCTCTGTATTTTCTTCCTTTAAACAGGTTTTACAATGTTCTAAACTTTTTCGATAACAATTGTTTAAACACTCAAGCGATTTCTCGGTTGCTAAATGGTATTCGTTTAAGTTATTAAGAAGTGTGCGCTTATTTTCGTATCTTTTCGTAAGTGCTGTCTCGATTTTTAGAAACTCGTCTTTGACAACATTTTGAAAAAGTTCTATTTTATCTAATCTTTGACTGTATTTCATCTTTTATCACAAAATTTTTTATTTCATTTACCGAGCATATCTAATTGGCAAACTATTCACTTTTTACTGTCTCTTTAACTATAATTCTGAATTTAACAACTCTAAAACCTTATTTAAATAGTTTCTTGTTTCCTTGGAAATGGCAATTTGTTGACATTTTTTTAACCAATGACATTTTTAAAGATTTTTCATTGTCTTAATGAATTAGTTTTAAAATAAATTAAAGACGGCTAGGATTATAGCATCAATATAAGTTTAATGCATTTTAATTTTGCAGTCGTTGTAATTGTTTTTAAGAAAATTGCGCATGCATAATGTCATGTATGGTGCGTGATATGTGCAGCATACACGAACTACGCTCCTTCAAAATGTATTCAATGAGGAATTGTAGCTAAATTTGAAACGAATTTGCTCGATAGTAAAACATCTAATAATCGCTTGATTTTTATCTAATTTGACCGTACAATTAGGGATCGTCCATAAAGTACGTACGCTCGGAGAGGAAGAGGAGGTCTGCAAACGGCGTTTCTGAGATAAGGAGGCAGTAGGTCAATTATAAAAGTATGGAGACACTAAATTAAAAAAAAATATCATAAGATGTTGCGTTAGTAGGTTAGAAGCGGAGGAAGAGAGTACTCAAAAAAGCGGCAAATTGCGGGGGAAGGGGTTGGCAAAAAAAAAGCGTACGTACTTTATGGGCGACCCCTTAAGGGCCTGTAATAGCCGTTTTGCTTATAGTCACAATGATCACTATTAAAGGGTCTTTTAAAATTATCGTTGTTGATTTTAGAACGGTATAAGTAGCAACCATATATATAACCTTTTTATTAAAAAAAAGATCTATAAAATAATGTATAAATATTTTCGCATAGTTTTTAAAAAACAAATGTTTTAAAGTAGAATAAATATCCAATTATACATGATTGACTCTTAAGATTGAACTAATACAGCTAAAGTAACATTTACTATAAATTACACTTAATTAGGTATGATTAGATAACTATTAGAGTAAAATATGCAATTGTCAAAAAATATTTTTTTAAAAACTTATTAGTAAATTAGGCAAACTATTTTGTACGATTTTAGAGGCGTTCAATGAGAATGAACTACTTTTCAAAATTAGCGGCGTTCCATAAGAATGAACTACTTTTGCATTTTTGTTACGCTCCTGATTTCTTTTCAAGTTTTTCTGAGCGAAGCAGTTCCTTTCAAGCATGCTAAAGATAATGTTGCCGATACGAAAAACGATAACGAAGATGAATCTTGTCAAGAAGAGGAAATTGCATGTTTTTAGCTTTTCAACTTGCAACTTCAGAAAATAACAAATTCAATTATGAAAAAATAATTTGCGAAATATCATATCTACAAAACATCTTTTTCAGTTTAACAGTTTTTCAATTTCTAACTTAATTTTTTATTTTTTTTTTAATTATTTAAATGTTTTACAGTTGTTATTGCTTATATTGATATGAGATATTGTTAATTTACTTAATTCAAAAAATCAAATTGATAAAGTTAAAACCAACTTATTTAAAAATTCTATAAAAAATAGTATAATTATATAAAAAAAAAATTTTTTTCTTATATGAACATAGATATGAATAGAATATATATATTTTTTTCTCTTAAATGAACATAGATATGAAAGATACGAACAATATTTAAATTATATAAATATGAACATAAAAATAATATAATTAATAAAAACCGAAACTTAAATTTTTTCAACATAAACGATGAGAGGTACAACCTTGTATTTCTTACGTCACAGTATGCTATTTTGTCTCTGATTTTTTAATTTAACATTTTTGATTTTAAAAGTTCAAGAGGAAATAACAATTTTTGTTAAATTCTCTCAACAAAAGGAGTTAAAACTTTAGAATTCTAACGTCACATATTTTTATATTTACGGACGTGAAAGACAACGTCAGAATAGAAGTTTGATCCATTGAGAAAGCAAAATATTCTGTACGAAACCTGTAAAAGTATATTTCCAAAAATTGTGAAATTTTTAAACTATGCTAACAATATGCACTTTGATATGAGTTAATATTTTTATAAATTTAAATAAATATTTTAATTTTTAAAAATCAACGATCTCAACATAACGTAAAGAAAATGTTGCATTTAGTAATACAAGATTAGATTAATTGACTTATTAAAAAAGAAAATTTGTATATAAAAATAGCTGAATTATATTTAACAGAAGCACTAGATGTTGCACGTTTTATACCGGGTCTATATACTTTCTAACTAAAATTATCTCCTTAAACACGAATTTGATATCATCGGAATGATTTTCAATTCTCCTTCTAATCTTAGTAATTACTATATATTACTTTCAAACAACAATATTATCATCATAACACGTATATTTCTACAAAATATAAACAACATAACAGGTATATTACTTTCAATCAACATAAAAGCAACATAACAGGTATATTACTTTCAGACAACAAATAAACAACTTAACAGGTATATTACTTTCAGACAACATAACAGGTATATTACTTTCAAACAACAAATGAGGCAGTTCAGCAAAAACTGTATTCTTTGGACGTCAACAAAGCATGTGGTAGTGATGGTATTATTCCTTACATACTTAAAAATTGTTCAAGTAGTGCAGCAACTCCATTAGCTTTAATTTACCGAAAATCAATTGAAACAGGAAAAATTCCTAGCAAATGGAAAGAAGCAAATATTACTCCAATATTCAAGAATGGAATACAACAGACCCGCTTAACTACAGACCCGTATCATTAACATCTGTACCAGGCAAAGTTATGGAAGCATTCATAAAAGAAGCAATAATGACTCATCTGATGGAAAATAAATTGCTATCAAAAAATCAACATGTCTTCGTAAAAAATAAAGCCTGTGTAACAAATTTGCTAGAAACATTAGACATTTTAACAGCAAGCATGAGTGACAGTTTAGCGGTAGATATGATTTATATGGATTTTGCCAAAGCCTTTAATAAGGTTCCACATAAAATACTGTTGAAAAAGTGTGAAGCATATTCGTAAATGATCTACCATCAGTTATTAATTCCAATTGCAAATTATATGCAGATGACAGTAAACTTATCAAAGTTATAAAAAATGTTGAAGATCATGAGTCTTTGCAGAATGACATTAACGAATTTGTAAAATGGACGGATATCTGGTTGACAAAGTTGAACATCGAAAAGTGCAAGGTGATGCATTTAGGTAAAAAGAATCCACGTATGAGTTATTGTATGAACCACGACGGCAAAGAGTATAAATTAAAAACAACAGTAAGTGAAAGAGATTTAGGAGTGATTATTTCATCCGACCTTAAATGGCATGATCAAGTGACTTCAGCGACAGCAAAAGCACAAAGAACTTTGGGTCTAATTAAACGTACGTTTACATACTTCGATGTGGAAATGGTGAAATCACTATATACGACATTTGTGAGACCGCTTCTTGAATTCGCTATACCTGCATGGCAGCCTTATTTTCACCGGGATATTGATGAGTTAGAGAAAGTGCAAAGAAGAGCAACGAAGTTAGTTCCACAACTTAAAAAGATTTCATATGAAAAAAGACTGAAAGCAATGGGTTTAACAACATTAGAGAAAAGACGAGCTAGAGGAGATCTTATACAACAATACAGATTCAAGCAAAATATAGACCAAATAAATTGGTACAAAAATTCAAAACCGGCATCATCCGTGACTAGTTCAGGCCCGGCTTTTTCTGTAAGGGGCAATAAATACAGGCTAGAAAGAGAATACGTACCATCATGTATACCGAGATATAATTTTTTTACCAATCGAGTTTGTAAAAATTGGAATTTGTTACCAAATGAAATCATTGAAGCAACATCGTTGAATGTTTTCAAAGTGCGAATAGATAAACATTTTTCATAACTTGTGTTTTTTTAATTTGTGTGGGCTGTCTATAACCCGATGCTTGCATCGCGTTCCACAATTTATTTTATTTTTAAATATTTATATTTAAACAAATATGTAGTTGTTACAGCAATAAATATTACTACTATTACATTACTAAGAAACCTCATTTTTTCAAAAAGTAACAGCTTTTGAAGTTATGTCATATTCTGCGCAATTAATTTAATTTATATGATGTCAGAAAATAATTTCAAACATTAATATTTCTCTTTTATACATAGCCCGGTAGAAAATGAGCTAGCGACTAGCGAGCGACTAGCTAGCTTTATAGCGATTTTCAAGCAACTTTTTTTTTCTTATTGTATTCTTTACTAATATCTCTAACATCTTTAAAAATTCGATTTTTAGTGTTGAGTCTATTATAATCATGAGAATAATTGAATTTCAAACATTGCGATTTTGTAGCAATGTGTCGCTAGCTACATATCGTCGCTTTATAGCTAGCTACAAAATATCTACAAATCTATAGCTGGTTGATAGCTACATACCAAAGTTTTTTTAATAGCGATTTTATTACGATATGACGGTAGCTACAATAGCCTGTGAGTCTTAACATTAGT